ACGTAATAGGATTTTGAGATTTAACTGCCGGGAAAATCCCAACATTCTGTGATATCCTTCAATTAGCAAAGAATTCCGTAAGACTGATTGTCTTTACACACAGATTTGGAAACTGGCAATGTGCCTTTCTGCATGTTGCTCTGGCACTTCCTCATCAACATCTAACACACATTCCACCACTGCCCCATGAGTGGTCATTAAAATATTCTCTTGTTTTCCAACATCTCTGGAAAAGTGTCCTCAAAGAGACTGCAGTTTCACAAAGTTGCCTCGATTCTTTAGGGTCCCTTGAACTAGCTTCCCTAAACACAGGTCACGTGCAACAGTCATTAGCCGTTGTTGCACAGCATTCAGAGCACTGGACTAGATCAGGAAGACCACAGTGCCACGGAAACTCGCATGGTAACCATTAGCCAGTCACTGGGTTGGATCCAAGTAGCAGTTCTGCAGCCTAAGGAGTCTTCTTCCAACAGAAGAGCCACTTAAGCTGACAGAAGACTGTCTAGAAATGAGGAAGACTTCCTTGAGTCAAAAGGAAAAGTGGGGTATAAACATTTCAATTAATAAACAGTGGAAATGGTAGGATAGGAGTAGGAACCACCCCACAGGATGAAATGAAGAATCATCTAAAACGCTTTTGGTCTCCAGCAGCATATAAATATAATACTGTTTGAGCTTACGTCACTAACCAAGGCATTAGACCACATTTTATTAGGAACAAAATATCAGTAAACAAAGTCCAGGTTTACAATTTCTATTGCTACTCATCAAGTCCCTTGTTCATGTGATGTTTTTAATCTCCTCATTTTGACATAGATGGAACTTTTGCATATTTCTCAGAGAATAATCTTGGATTGCTTCCCCTAGAAAAGCAACAAACACTCCACTGACAACAACTTCCAAATGGATTTATTTAAAACAGGAAAAAACAATTCTAGGATGGAGTATTACTAGAAGTGGAAAAGGTGGAAGAAGAAAGAAATCAGATATTTCTCACCTTTCTACGATTTCTTGACCATTCCAGCAAAGGGTGTTGTTTTGCACCACAGAGCTGTGGCTACAGATGTACTCCGGCAGACTGCTATAAAAACTGCTGTGCATTCTTAGTTTTGTGATGAGTTCCCTAAAACAAACCAGCAAACAAGTGAAGCTGGAGACAATGCAGAAACAGTTGAAATAACCTCTGTTACAAGTGGGGCTAAACCCCAAATAAGAAACAACACAGAGTTACCTACTTAAAGGGGAGATTATGAGCAATAATTCATGCAGCCAACCTTCTATGGATGACTACTGTTATTTTCTGGCAGATTTCAGAGGCTGCCAATTCTGTGGCTTGGAATACACAGGTGCTTTGGTAAATCCATGACGGACATCAAAACACTGCACTGTAATGCTTGTGTTTTGCCACTAGGTGCTGCTACAGTGCCATTTCATAATTGGCAAAAAATGCCTAGGGACTTTAGATCCCAAAGTAGTTTTTATTATTTGACTACCAGATGACCAATTTAACAAGGGCACCTATTTTCTTCAGCTGCAGAAGAAGCAAAAGAATACTGTAGCACCTTAAAGACTAAGGAACTCACTGCAGCGCACTTCTTGTCAGTAGAAATATCCCCTGCAACACACATTTTTTTACTCCAGCGCCTGCAAGTCATACAGACCTACAGGCCATTTCAGCATGTACGTGTGTGTGTGCGCAACCTTTACTATAAATAATTCAAACTGGGTTTACATGATCTCTAGGAGACCCCCAGCCCAATCAAGTAGGAGGAATTATGGCTTGGATCCGGCCTACAATTTCTGCAGTCTGTACAGTGCAACCTCCCCACCTCATGCTACAATCTGAAATGCTCCCTGAAATGCTTCTCCTGAGGAAGTGAGGGGAATCCCAAGAGTAGAGGGGGTTTTTTTGGGGGGGGGATTGAAGGTCTGCCATGGGAGAGGGGAATCAGCAAAAACGGCTCCCTCCTTCTTGCAGACTGAACTTTTAGGTAGGATCTGACCCTGTTTCCATCCCGACTATTTTAAACTTCTATGTCCTGCACACTCTTTTAGTCAAATCTGGTTGTCCAGGCCATCCTAGGCTGTTAAGCAACACCTCACCAAGTTCAGTCACCACTCTCTCTTTCTCTGGCTGCTAGCCAAGCGGACTGATTTGCAGAAGAATGGGGGGGGTGAGCTTCCTTCACCTTTAGCACCGTGAAAATGCTGGAAATGCCATTGAGTGCAATTTCTATCATGGCAAGAAGACACAACTGCAGAAATTATCCCAGATCTATTGGAAGCACAAGAGCAATCCTCAACCCCACTGCAACCTGCAGAATCTGTGGTCCACTGTAATGCTTTTCCCTGCCTGCATTTCCTGTTACTTATTTTAACAGACGGTTTTTCAGGCAGTAAATCCCCTCTCGTCTGAAGTAAACTATTATCAAGATTAGTTGGGAGCTGTAAAGTACCCAGCTGGGGGCCAGCAAAACAAATACAGGCTGCTGGAATGCTACCAAAGGGAGCTCTTTCCACTCCACACCCCCCCCTTAACTATGTCATACAGGCTTTTCCTTATACTCAGGTTCTGGCAGCTTGCACACACTGCCTATGCAATAAAACACAGAGAATGTATAATATGGTTCTACATTTCTTTCCCACCCAGCAGGGCTGATGAGGGGTAACATACTGCAAACTATCAAAGGTAAGAGAGGAGTAATTAAAAAAAAACCACTGGGAAAGAGGTGTGTGAGAGAAAAGAAAACCAACAATGCAGTGGCAGTTTCTGCCGAAATAATGCTATTCTAGCCTGCACAGCCAATCAGATCTCCACTGGCCAATCAGAAGCCCTGCTGGGTGGCCCCACTTTGCCCCACCCACTTTCTAAATACACTCGGTGGGAGCCAGGAAAGACGTCAGCGGGCACCCATGGGCGCCATACTGGGGACCCCGACAGAAGCTCCTTCGGGTCACAACTGGGGAGAATGATGGGGAACAACTGAAATAAATACAAACTTATCCTCAGCATCCCTATACTGAAAAAGGTCGGAAACAGAACCCTAGTCTGGGACGACAACTGGATGAGTGGAGGACTCCCACCTCCTTCTGCTGGACAAGGTTTCTTCGTGATCCACGTGGGCAGCCCTCATTACTCTCTTGTCAACAAAAAGATCCTCTGGATACCAAGCTGACCTGTACTGTCTCTGCTGGGAATGTCCACACAGCTTGCCGATCTGAAAGAGATGGTACAAAAGGATTTAGTTGAACATTGTCTTTCCACTGGCCATATTATTTTGAACCAAGCTACTTCAATTACAGTTAAAAGGACCAAGGATCAGATGACTTGAGGTTTATAAGATTATGCATGGGATAGAGCAGGTAGAGAAAGAGGTAGTTTTCTCCCTTTCTCACAATACAAGAACTCGTGGGCACTCCATGAAATTGCTGAGCGGTCGAGTTAGAACGGATAAAAGGAAGTACTTTTTCACCCAAAGAGTGATTAACACATGGAATTCACTGCCACAGGAGGTGGTGGCGGCTACAAGCATGGATGGCTTCAAAAGGGAATTAGGCATATGGAGCAGAGGTCCATCAGTGGCTATTAGCCACAAGGTATAGATAGGGGCTCTGGGGCAAGTGATGCTCTGTCTTCTTGGTGCTTGGGGGGGGGCCAACAGTGGGAGGGCTTCTAATGTCCTGGCCCCACTGGTGGACCTCCTGATGGCACCTGGTATTTTTGGCCACTGTGTGACAGAGTGTTGGACTAGATGGGCCTTTGGCCTGATCCAACATTGGCGTCTCTTATGTTCTTATGACTGAGGAACTCTTTGCATCTGTTTAAACATCCTAGGTCTCTTTAGACTCCAGTGTGTTTTGTTTAAATATAAAGAAACACAAAACTGGTGAAATATGCATCACTTTTGCCCAGTACTGTCTGTCAAATGGCCCTTGATGAAGCTTGCAACAGAATATGGCAGTAAATGTCAAGCACTAAAACAAGCAGCAGCCGCAGCATTCTCAACCAGAATAACAGCAGGGAAAAAAGCCACAGCAGATTATTTAATTTTTTTAAAAAAACACAGTAGAATAAAAGCAGGATTTATAAACATACCATTAAGCGGACAATGCAAGACCAACATACATAGAGGGCTAGCTATAAAGCAAAAGGAATGTAACTACTTGAGACCAGACACTCTGGAACATTATTATTAAACTGGTGAAATTACAAATGCCTAGGTAAAATTTTAAAAAGCCTTACATGTAACAGAATTGGTGCAAGCCAAATGGTTGCCGGGAGCGTAATGTGCCACTATCAAGGTGCTATGACAGAGAAGGTGGCCACACACCAATCTTCAGCAAGCAAGAGGATACAGCACAAGACCACCCAAGACGATCTAGCACTACAGCAGGTCCCTCAGAACGTGAAGGCCCAGGGGAAAGATCCAAAACAAAATCAGAAACAGACTTCCTGTTATGACCCCAGGACTTCTTTCAGTTTCTTCTAAAAGAAACATGGGAAGTTATTTGGACCTCTAAAAAAAATCCCACTCATAATGAGTGAAATGTTCCATGCAAAAAAGCAGACAAACCCAAAATATTGCCAGGAATACATTTATAGTTTAATTTTGACAGCTCAGTTCAAGATTTTTAAATGTTCATTTAGCACTACAGTCAGATACAGTGCTAGTCCTGTTGTGACTACATTTATTTGATTTATTTAGAAGACTTGTATGCCCCCTTCTCCAGACCTGTTCAAGTGGGCTCACAGTAGGGTCGCCAAGTCGACTTACCTTCAAAGCAGGGGGATTCCTAGCTCCATCGGGAGTCTCCCCGGAAGTGATGTCATCGCGTCGCCCACATTGGGGGCGGGGCACCATGACTCGAGGGAAAACCATAGAGTTTTCCCTTGATTCACAGAGTGTCCCCCCCATAACATGGCCAGCATGATGATGTCACCTCCGGGTGACATCATCACGCTGGGGACGCCCTCCAGCAGGGGGTGGAGTTCCCCCCGGGACCCGATCCGCCGGCTTTGGGTAACGGGCCTCCCGGGCGGAAATTTACCTGCCCCCAGTGGGGGCTTGGCAAGCCTAGCTCACAGTTAAAGCACTAAAGGCAATGAAAAACAACAATAAATAGCAACAAAAATGTTACCAACAAGCATTTAAGTCTAAAAAGTTGCTGACAAAAACAGTCTGGAGGCTGGGAGCTAAGCTTGAGTTAAGCTTGGGAAAAGACAAATTTGGCTTGCCTCGGGGCGGGGGGAGTAAGGAAGGTGCTAGGCAAACCCTACGGGAGAAGGCAAGTTGCTACCACCAAGAAAGCCCCATCTCGGGTCTCACTACCCACCTGCCTCTGCGGGCAGGGCGACAAACAGCAAGGCTTGTGAAGAGGATCTCAGCTGTACAGGACTGTAATTAAGTAACAGCTTTGTATTTTCAACTTTTTCTCTCTTTCAGATGGCAAAAACTAAAATACATGTGCTAAAGTAGTATGCAGCACTTTGCGTCTCTCTCAAAATTAGGAATATGCACAGTTCTGCTTGTAGAAAAGGGGAAAAACTGATTTTCCCTGTGGTTTCAAAATATTTGGAAACTTTGCATCTCAAACAGGCCCTCTTAAACTACAGTGGAACATAAGGTAAAGGTAAAGGTTCCCTTGCTCGAAAGCCAGTCGAATCCGACTCTAGGGTTGCGGTGCTCATCTCCGTTTCAAAGCCGAAGAGCCAGGATCTCAGCTGTACAGGACTGTAATTAAGTAACAGCTTTGTATTTTCAACTTTTTCTCTCTTTCAGATGGCAAAAACTAAAATACATGTGCTAAAGTAGTATGCAGCACTTTGCGTCTCTCTCAAAATTAGGAATATGCACAGTTCTGCTTGTAGAAAAGGGGGAAAACTGATTTTCCCTGTGGTTTCAAAATATTTGGAAACTTTACATCTCAAACACCTTAAACTTTACATCTCAAACACCTTAAACTACAGTGGAACATACTCAGAAGTTAATACACATGCATTCCAATTGTCATAATTTACCAAGGACAATCCCTGTGTTCTAGTCCATCTTTTGGCTCTCCAGAAGCTCTGTCAAGTGGAAGGAAGAGATGCATCATGGTCCTTACATGCAATGATGCAAGAGGAAAAATACATGTCTATATACCAGCGCTCAGGTGACAGAGGAAATTCGAGGAGCTGGTCCACTATCCACTTCATTAGAAGGTTGGGGCTGGAAGAGGCAAGATGTTGCCTTTAGCATTATCTAAAATGTCAGGGATTGGAGACTACAAATTTCATTAAGGGTCCAGCCCACTAACTCCCTTGCCATAAATCAAGAACCAAACCATAAAAGTCCCGGGGCACCTCTGCCAGAGAAAGCCAGCATGGTGTAGTGGTTAAGAGCGCAGACTGTAATCTGGAGATCCAAGTCTGATTCCCCACTCTTCCTCCACTTGAAGCCTGAAGGGTGACCTTGGGCCAGTCACAGTTCTCTCAAAGCTCTCTCAGCCCCACCTAGCCCACAAGGCGCCTGTTGTGGGGAGAGGAAGGGAAGGTGATTGTAAGCCGCTTGGAGACTCCTTAGGGCAGAGAAATGCGGGGTATAAAAACCAACGCTTCTTTTTCTGCCTCCCTCCCCCATAACTGCTGAACAAACTTTGAGATTCAGCAGATCTATTCAAGGACCAAACATTGCTTAAAGTGGTGTAGTAGTTAGAGTATCAGACTAGGATCTGAGAGACTCAGTTTCAAATCCCCACTCTGCCACAGAAACCCGCTGTGGCACTTTGGGCTGCACAGACATTCAGACTAACCTACCGTGCAGGGTTGTGAGGATAAAATAGAGAAGAGGAGAACAATGCAAATTGATTGGGTTCCCACTTGGAAGAAAGGTAGGATGTAACTATTACAATAAAGGTTTTTGTTTTTTTAAAAAGAAAACTGTTAGCTTCCTTAAAAAAAACCAAAACCCTGCTCCAGAAGCTAGGGTAGGACCAGCTACAACAAATGACCACGGTGGAGAAACAATGACAGAAGAATCTTTGGGAATGAATAATTGGAAAGGATCACAAAAACTTAGCAGTGACACCCAAGGGGAGAATTATCCACGATAGTGCAAAAGAAAGGGCATTGCTGCCTTTATTTGTGAAACATAGGCAGGTATAAATACTTGGCTGGTTTCTTCTTTTTTTTGTATTTTTGAATTTTTATGTGAATGTGTGTGCGCGCACCTGGGGGGCATAGAGGATATTCAGAGAGGTGGCTGACTAGAGCCTGCCCCCGCCTCCTGGCTCTGGTATTCCAAGGAGGTCTCCCATCCAAGTACTTGCCAGAGTCAACCCTGCTTAGCTTCTGAGATCTGACAAGATCGGACTTGCCGGGGCTATCCAGGTCAGGGCACGTGGGTGTTTGTTGATGTGTGCATAATGTTATTCCAATAGCTAGCCAAATGACTGGCAACTTTCAGCTAATTAAAACACTTTGCTTGCTTTGATTCCAGCATCATTAGCTTAATAGTGTGTAATCATGCTTTCCCCTGCCTGTTCTTTTATTGTTGGTATTTGCTATGCTCCAATATTTAGCAAAAAAGATCTTGCAACTGTTACCATGTGGGCTAATAACCCCCAATATTTAACATTTATGTTTTTTCACACATCCATACAAAAATGTTCAAGGCTCCAAAACTACATTTGATTCTATTATTCTGTTCACTGCCTAGTTAAAATGGATGCCTTTAGCTCTAAGCCAGGTCCACTACAGATGGCATGTTTTGGAGTTCATGTCTCAGCACATGGACGCAAAATGCTGCTCAATATATTTCTCAGGTGTGATATTAGGATGCGTTTCATGTGTCTGTGGGCTGCTGCTGGTAGGAAGAGGACGAAGCCCCACAATCAATTCTAGACACGCACATGCTACAATTTGACAGTCTGAGTCAGTCAACAGGGAAGGCCATCTGAACTAGCCGCTGAAAGAGTCCCAAGTGACAGAGCTTGATGTAAGAGGTGCTGGTGCACAACCTCTCCTGTATTAATGCTGCATGCGTTGTGCAGACCTGTCAGGCTTCGACAGGTAAATCACCGTGTGCCAGTTCCTGCGCTCAAAAGTCTGATGGTTCACTCATTCATTCACAGGAGGGGTTTTTTGGCAGATGCCAGCTGACATTAGGGAACTGTTTTTATGTTCCTGGCTGAACAGGCTGATGGTGTCAACTGCTCCCAATGAAGACTGTGGCAAACT